ATATAAATTACATTAAAATTTTAGAAAGCACTTTTCTAAAGGTACTGTTGGGCTCTGGTACATGAAAAGACGCTCACCATCCTCCTCTCTCAGGTTTCTGACAAGGTTAAGAACAAATCTGTCCTTATTAGAGTTTATTATTATGGTTGCATGACTAATCAAACTCAGTGGCTTGAACAAGAATAGCTATTTGTTTTACTCATGAATCTGCAATTTCTGCAATGCTAGTAGGCCATCTGGTGTCAGCAGGGTCGGTTTGAATGAGTCTGAAAAATTCACTTCTTAATGGCTCAGCAAGCTGAGCTTACATGGCTGCTAAGCTGATGTTATCAAACTACTTGCTGCACATACAATCATAGGTTGATGAAACAATTTCCTTCATAGCTTACCTATATTATTAAAAAGAATATAAGTAGAAAGAGAAGTGATGGTTGAACCTATGTAACCTCAATGTTACTTTCGTGTCTTCTCATATCAATATTTTAATTTGCTCAGTTTAAGGCCAGTGCTTAGCTGGGGCCTTAATTCCTCTCCAGGTTGACTTCTCTAGAAGAAGGCTTAGGCTTCCTCACAACATAAGAAGCAAAATTCAAGAGCAGGCATTCTAACAGTGTGGAATTGCAAGATTCAAGTTTCTTTTGTAAAAGACATATATTTTTATTGGTTTCAGAGAGGAAGGGAGAGGGAGAGAGAGAGAGCTAGAAACATCAATGATGGCAGAGAATCATTGATTGGCTGCCTTCTGCACACTCCACACTGGGAGTCGAGCCCACAATCTTGGCATGTGTCCTGACCGGGAATCAAACCATGACCTCCTGATTCATAGGTGGACGCTCAACCACTGAGCCACACCAGAAGAGCAAAATTCTAGTTTCTTTAAGCATGGGCCTAAATATTGGCATATGAGCATATTACCATATTCTATTGTTAAAACAGTTGTAGAGTACACCATGATTCAAGGGGAAGGGATATATACCCTGCTTCTCAGTGGAAAAGGTGTCAGGGAATTTGCAGCCATTTTTATTCTATCATAATTATATTCTAAATAATCCCTTTATGGTGAATAAAAAAATGTAAGACTTTTCAAGAAGTCATTTATTGGTGTGTATGCCAGAATTACTGACACCCTAAATATGGTAAGCTTTGTAACGTTAGCTTGTTTTAAGTTGCCTTAAGCCCAAAAGGTTGCAGGATGGCATATAACAATAGGCTTATCAATCAAATTTTAACAAATTAGGCTAATTATTATTATTAGAGTATGTGAATTGACTATAGAGCATCCCTTTCAAAAAGTAAAATTATATACCAAAACTCTACAAAACTGGCCAGGCCAAGCATGGGCATTCATGTTTGATGAATGACAATAGGTCTTCCCAATTTATTTATTTATCTTCATATAGTCAGGACATGTATCATCTTGACTTCTAAATATTTTATTCTGCTACCTGCATTAATAATATATATTTCTTCTATGTTTTTGTATCACCAGAGATTTTGACTTGAAAGAGAGTGTGTCTGAAAAACTATTTTCTAGGTTTTTGTTGTATGAATTTACTGGGGGGAAAAAATGTAATACCTACTATGTTTCAGGAACTGGTCTGTGTTCTGGAAATATAGCAGTTAGCAAAAAAGAGCAAGGGCTGTACTTGCACTCATGGAATTTGCATTTCTAAAGTTGAAGGTAGATAATAAACACTCAATTAATATGCAGTGTAAATTAAAGTAGTGATAAATAAGATTAAGAACATAGTCATAGTAAGGGGATTAAGTGTGATACTGGAGGAAGATGTTTAGACCAGAGGTCATGAAAGGATTTTGTGCTGAGTTGGTTTCTGGGCCGAGATCTGAATGAGGAGAGGATATTGACCAGGTAAAGATCTCACAAAGGGTGTTTTAGCAGAGAGAACAGCTAGTGAAGTTACTCTCTGAAGAGTTAATGTGTTCAGAATGTTTGAGTAGCACCAATAAGGCTAGCATGATTGGAGCAAAGGAAGTGAGAGATTACTGGTAGAAATTATGATCATTATAATATATATATATATATATATATATATATATATATATATATATATATATAATTATTTCTGTTGCATAAAAATTAATTATTTAGAAACTATTTTCATGATTATGATTATGATGATGATGATAACAATTCATAGATACTTATTCACTATTAGAATTTATTTTTTAACTTGTTTTGTATGAGTTACCTCATTTAATGCAACCCGTTTGTGAAGATTCCAGTGCAATTTTAAAGGGATGAATGATATCATAGAAGTCTAGAGATATTTAGTAACTGGCCCAAAGACACAATGCTAGTAAGTGGAAAGGCACATACTATTAAAGACTATGCAAAGGTGCTGATTAGACATGGAGAAGTGATTGAATGGAGGCTATAGTTTGAAGGTAGAGTCAAGAGGAATTGTTGATGGATTAGATGCAGGAGACGAATCAAAGAGTGAATTGACAGATGATTTGGTAGTTTCTGGTCTGAGCAACTAGGTGTGGCTTTGCAATATACTGAGGTTAAAATGTATATTTGGCTGTTGGAAAAAAGGTGTTGTAAATTAAAGAGTTCTTTTTTGGACATGGTTGACTTGACTATCTATCAGGCATCCAAGAAGACGTGTGTGTCTATAATTCAGGGCAGAGGTGTATTATCATTGAGAGAAGTTGCATATGGAGACATGCAAATTTTCTGCACTCTTTTTGCAACTTATTATAAGTAAAAATAAAATTTTTGAATATATATATATACACATATACTTGAATCTCTTACCTTAAATTATGACCTTGTTTAGGACACCATACTCACATGAAAATGGGAGTCAGAAGTGGATATCTTTGTGAATATGCCAAACTTATTGAGATGTTGATTACATTTTTCATTTATTAATGCTGCAAACTTTTAATATATTGGCAGTTTTCTTTATATTTTAGTACTTAAACTTTTCATTGGAGCAGAATGTACGCATATTTAATGTACCCACAAAGATGAAATGTGTGGTAATTTGTTACACTAAAAAGCAGTAGTAAGACACTTTGGCAAATAGAATATATTGCAAGCATTTAGGAAGCCAAACAAGTTAAATATGTCAAATAATAGGCACTTCTGTGATATTTATTGACAACTTAAAATAGCTGGGCATTTTTAAAACACATGATTGTAGCATTATTTCATTAATCCTTAAAATGCTTGTTAATTTCTTTTATATTTTTATTGACTTCAGAGGGAAAGGAAGAGGGAGAGAGAGCTAGAAACATCAATGATGAGAGATCAGTTGCCTCCTGCATGCCCCACAGTGGGGATTGAGCCCACAACCCGGGCATGTGCCTTGACCAGGAATCAAACCGCTTCACAGGTCTCTGCTCAATTCCTGAGTCACACCAGCAAGACAAATGTTCATTATTTTAAAAAAAACACATAAATTCTCATTCTTTTCTCTGAAAATGTGAAATTCCATATTTTACATGTTTTTTTCTATCATCATTTTACATATTATTTCTGTGTTTGACTTTCTTAATACCACAATGGTGGAATAGACATGTTAAGTCTGTGATTACCTCTATTTTTTAAACACAAATATTCAAAGGTTTAAAGACCCAGTTGAGAAATGTCAGCACAATATTATTCTTTCTCAGTTTTAACAAAACATCATTTACCTTGAAAATTACCTGTACTCACATCAAAATCCCTAAGTAACAGTAAAAACAACAATAAAAATAACAGCAATAACTGACTAAATACTGATAAAATTATAGCTTCCTGATGTGAAATTGTAATTTGTTGTACTCGGAGAATAATTGTTCTTAAAACTCCCCACATGATTTTCTGAAAATATTGATTATGTTAAGGATGTTAAGTTGCATCACTAGCTTGATTTCATATCACCTCTATCAAAAGGAATTTTGGTGGATGAAATGGCAAAATGAATTAGCCCATACTTTGTTTAAAGGAGTCATTTAAAAAAAATGCTTGGAGGATGTAGCATGGAAGTGATCATTGTCTGATACTCCACTTATTTGTAAAATGCTTATGGAATGTATGAGGTTACTAAACACTGTGTTTACTGAATACTAAGGTGAATAAAGTATTGCTTGCTTTCAAAAGAGCTTAGTGTTAACCAAGGGAAGGGATAGAGTGAGGGTTGTATGCAGTTGGGGGCAAGGTCAGTTTGAGCTGATCTCAGCTGCTTTTCAGAGCTTTTATAAGATCAGGTAAACATTAGTAGTCTTATCAGATGTGGAGAGAGGAGGGTTGGTAAATTATGGGTTGAGGAAGGGGATTGTAGTCAGGGGCATTACAAAACCCTCTCCCATCGTAGGCTCCTATAGATAAATAGCACTGGTCTGCAAGCTGGCTTTACTCTTCATTAAAATGATGAAATAAAACAATTTACAATACTAGTATACTGACATAAGTTTAATAACTTGAATTTTCAGGCTCTCCCAAAGTTTCCTTTTAGCTGTTAATTCCAATTGCGTTTCTCTTCAGAACCTTCTAAAAATGAACACTTTAATTTGTCTCAGTCCCTATATTTCTTATGTTATGTCAACAATATTTATAAGTAGGGAAGTGTTCCAAAAGCTAGAAGGAGCAAGCAATGAGAAAGAACATACATTTCTAAACTGTATCATCAATCCCTGGAGAATTCAAATCGATCATTCAGGAGCACAAGGCTGGAGGATGAGTTTAGATGTGAGGCTAGAATTTCCTAGGCAAATTATAATTTTGGAGCATTTAATTCTTCATGAAATCTGCTAACCACTCTCATGTTTTGCCACATTGACCAGAGTGTTGTATGCATTTTTGTCCTACTGTAGGTGACATTTACTAAACTAATACCAAATTCCAGGCACTTTTCTAAGGGGTGAACATGTATTAGCTCCTAAAGTTTATATAAAGACATCTCTGTCACACTATTCATTGAATGGACCAATATTCACATTTTCTTTTCACTTGGATATTTGTTTCATTTTCATCATTTCTTCTCTTTCAGCTCTTCTTTATGCAACTATTTTTGGAAATGTTACCACAATTTTCCAGCAAATGTATGCCAACACCAACCGATACCATGAGATGCTGAATAATGTACGGGACTTTCTGAAACTTTATCAGGTCCCCAAAGGCCTTAGTGAACGAGTCATGGATTATATTGTCTCAACCTGGTCCATGTCAAAAGGTATCGACACAGAGAAGGTAGGGGTTATCATTATCGTTGTTATTTATTTTCTGTTTCAATAGGATTCTCAAATGCCCGTAGTTTTCTCACTCACATATTGCTTATATAATTGCTTCATAAATGTTACTTTATTTGGTAAGTAACATATCAATCATATTATTGAATGCTTAGAAGGTGCAAAGCACTCAACCATTAATCATCAATTAGTACTAGTCATCATATTCAATTTAGAAATTATGGGTCCTGAAAACAGCTAATTACTGCATTTCCATAAAACACTCTCATTACCACTAGGAGTAATTTCCTACATTCCTCTAAAATTCTAACAGTGTGCCATTTCTCCTGATAGATCTTATTCTTGATTTTTTTCTTTGACCTTTTCGCTCATTTAAAATTTAGAAAACAACTTCCTGGCTTAAAAACTAAAAAGTTATGTTTGCGATCATCCCCTAAAATCTCTCTCCTTTCACATGTTTATAAAGCAACTTACAATTCTTTGTTTTTTCCCACACAAATCTATAAAATGGATACTATCCTTCCCATTCATTTGATAGCTCTAATTTCTTGCTTATTTTTTCATGAAAAATTTTAAAATGTTTCCCATCTATCTCATTTTATGGGCAAAGAAAGAACTGAAGGCCTTCTCACAATAAACAAAATCAAATTTTAAAAAAATTCTCCCTTCCTACACCCAGCTGATTCAGGTCAAATATAGAGGATGACAAATAGAGCTTGCACACAGAAGTTTTAGGGAAAACTGAATGGGAGCTACTTTACTTTATAAGCATCAGTGGGGACTTCCATTTTTAGGAACTGATTTTTGACCAATGATATTGAAACAGCACATTACCTTCCTTGCCATTTCCCACAAACTTGATTTGTTCTCTTAATCATATGAGGTTGACCTGTGGTTTTTCTATTAGACCTGTTCAACAAGTACCTTTCAAAGTCAAAGGGAAAGAGCAAATGAACAAAGTACAATAGATGTTTATTTAGGGGAATTTCATGAAACAACAAGCAGATAGTTCTTCAAGCCAGAGCAGGCATTGTTAGGAGCAGGTGGTTGAGTGGATGTGTAGGGAATGAACATGGAATTTGAAAAGTAAGGGAGAGAAACCTGCTGGTAATTATATGAAAAAATTGTGAAAGAGGGTGACATGTGCTCCTCTTAAACATTTTACAAGATGAATTTTCTACTTAAATGGCCTCTTAAAGTGGAAAATGTGACCATAGAGGAGAAAAGGACAAATTACATTTCCATAGAATTTGATTAATGTATAAACAAGCCACTATGTGGTTAGTTGGGAGGGTATCCAAAGACGGAACAGAATCCTCCTCAGGGGTGCAGATGTGAGTCAGTGTTTAAGACATCAAATGAAGGAGGTCCTTTGAGGTCCACTTTCAGTGAAACTGAGGTCACGAGGCAACTATCTACCTTGCCCATCGTCATCTCAAGTAGAAGCTTTTATTCCAGAAAATTCAGTGAGGTCACGTGGTAGACAACAGAAACACCAGTAAAAATTATGGAATAATGGCCTTTTACATTAGAAAAGAGCCAGACCAATAGCCTGTGCTTCTCCTAGATGACCTGTTCAACTGCCTGCTTTATGTCATTGGTAGGGTCTAACACATTGGCAATGGATGTTGGCACAGTACATTGTTATGACTGGCATGGGGTGCTGGCCTGGAACTTGCCATGTTGCAGGAGGTGATTTCTGTGTTCCTATTATTCACCATATTTTTTGGTTCATAATTTGTGGTCATAGAAATGTACTTCTTATCACAGTATCCATGGAATAAAAATAGATAGAAAGGCTAATATTAAAAGTGAAATAAAATTTTATTTCAAAGGAAAATACTTTTAAAGAAGTAAGTATACATATAAAATGAATTAGTTTTTGGGTAAGGAAAAAAAAAATTATGGTTGTGCCTCCTAACTGAATGGGGAATCTTTGGATAGTTTATGTTTAAAAGAAAAAGTAGATTTAAATAGCTGGTAAATACGTAAGTTTTGCTGTGTATTTTTAAAGACATATCTAAATTTATTTTAATGTAGCAGCAAACTCTCCAGGCCTTTATTATTTCTCCCAACCTATTAAGAAAATCTCCACCCAGATGCATAAGAACTAATTGTAATAGCACTGTAAGTAAGGAGACATATGCCAAAGTCTTGTCTTCAAAAGGGGGATAGGAGATTTGCGCTAATTTCATAGGCAATGGGGGTGAACTTAAAAAATATATTCATAGACTACCCACCATATGCTATACGAAACAAGAAGAAAACAAAATTGACATCCAGATCTCTGGGTTAATAGTGACCCTAAAGACCCAAATGCCTGTTGGGCATTTAGTTATTTGACAATTCAATAACCGAACACATAACTTTAAAATACTATAATAAAGTATTGAAGTATAGACCCAAGACTTAGTAGCCAAAACAAAGAAGGAGTCGATATCTCAGAACTAGACTTTACTGTGGATAAGAACCATTTATAACTTAAAGGACCATTGCAAAAATGGAATTGACTTATTATTTAATCCTATATAATAAAAGGCTAATATGCAAATTGATCAAACTGTGGAACAACCAGTCACTGTGACACACACTGACCACCAGGGGGCAGATGCTCAATGCAGGAGCTCCCCCCAGTGGTCAGTGTGGTAACACAGTGGGAGTGCTGCTTAGCAAGAAGCTGGTTTTCATGGCTGGTGAGCACAGCAGCAATGGCAGGAGCCTCTCCCACCTGCCTCTGGAGGAGCCTCTCCCGCTTCCATGGCAACACTAAGGATGTCTTGTGGGGAGTGGGCCAAAGTTATCAGTTGGACATCCCCAGTGGGCTCCCAGACTGTGAGAGGGCACAGGCTGGGCTGAAGGACCGCCCCCCCCCGAAGTGCACAAATTTTGTGCACTGAGCCTCTAGTATAATTATAAAATGAGCTAAAAATCTAATAAAATATTTAATGAGAGTCTTTCTACATGACCTAACATAAATACCCTTTTTCCCCGAAAATAAGTGTCTTATATTAATTTTTTCTCACAAAGTTGTGCTAGGTCTTATTTTCAGGGGATATCTTATCTTTCCATGTGCTAGGTCTTATTTTTGGAGGATGTCTTATTTTCGGGCCCGGTACTTGGATCGGGTCTAGGTGGGCAGTCAGACATCCCTCTCACAATTCAAGACTGCTGGCTCCCAACTACTTGCCTATGTGCCTTCCTGATTGCCCCTAACCACTACCCTGCCAGCCTGATTGAGGCCTAACTGCTCCCCTGCCAACCTGATTGCCCCTAACTGCCCGCCCCTGCAGGCCTGGTCACCACTAACTGCCCTCCCCTGCAGGCCTGGTTTTCTGCAACTGCCCTTCCCTGGGAAGTTGAGGTCCAGTCACTCTCGACTTTCCTCCCTGCTGGCCTGGTCACCCCTAAGTGCCCTTCCCTACAGGTTTGATTGCCCCCAACTGCCCTCCCTTGCAGGCCTGGTCCCTCCCAACTTCTTTCCCTTGCTGGCCATCTTGTCATGGCCTTCTTGTGTCCATATGGAGGCAGCCATCTTTGACCACATGGGGGCAGTCATCTTGTGTGTTGGAGTGATGGTCAACCTGCATATTACTCTTTTATTAAATAGGATAGAGGTCTGGTGCACAAGTGGGGGCCAGCTTGTTTGCTCTGAAGGCTATCCTAGATCAGGGTGGGGGTTCCTTTGGGGTGTGGGGTGGCCTGGGTGAGGGGCCTGTGGTGGTTTGCAGGCCAGCCATGCTCCCTGGCCCAAGCAAAGGCCCTGGTATCTGGGGTTTATTTATCTTTTATAATTGAAACTTTGTAGCCTCTAATGGAGCCAAGCCTCCTGCTCACTCTGTGGCCGCAGCCATTTTTGTTGGGATTTATTTATAGTCTATAATTGAAACTTAGCAGCCTTGAGTGTAGGCCTGTGCCAGCTAGGGTGGCAGGCAAGCGTGGCTTTCTCCATTGCCGGGGAAACCCAAGCCTCCTGCTTGCTGCAGCTCTGTAGTACTAGCCATTTGGTTGGGTTAATTTGCACACTAGCTTCTGATTGGCTGGTGGGTGTGGCTTGTGGTGTAGCAGAGGTATGGTCAATTTGCATATTACTCTCTTATTAGATAGGATATCTTTACTCTAGGATTTTTTGATAATAAGAATGAAATTGCTTATTGAAAATATAAGGGTGGAATAAAGAAAATGAATGGCTAATGACAGTAATGACATAAATTCTGTAATTGCAATAATAAAATATTAGAAATATGAATATACTTGATCTTGTAACTTTAGTAAATAGTGTCTCAATTTTAACAAATATCCCCTATTTGTTGTTAGAGACCTTTGTTAGATTTTTTTATTCCTCAATAGTCAAATACTAGTCTTATTATATTTTTATTTTATATTTTGTTGATTGCTTCCTTCAAATATTTTATTAATGATTGTTGAGAACATTTTTAACTATGAGTATATAATGAAAAATATTGGAATATAATGTATCAAAGCTAAATGTCTTTGTTCTGATGCTTCTCTTATTAGTTCAAAAGAGATATTTTTTTAGTTGGTACTACAATAGAATTTAATGATTCATTGCAGCTAATTACAGAAAAACCTTCACCCTGATTACTGAGATTTCCTTCTATCATTTCTACATTGTTTTATAGATTAAAAAAAATTAGCTTTAACCCACAAGCAAATTAATCACTGTGATTTAATTCAGTCTTAACTCGCCTTATGTGAATAATGTTTTCTCTAATTCAAAATTGTGGCATTAAAGTCAGTACTGATGTGGAAATTGTAGCATTTTTATCATGAAAGGTAGCCTTAGGCAATGTTTTTTATATATACATAAAGAACAGTATCTAGATTAATTTTGCTTGGTTGAAAGTATTTTATTGACTACTAATTACAATAGTTGCTCTAAATTCTTTTAAAATTTAATATCCAAATCAATCCCATGGGCTTTGCTACTTGTTCTCATTCTGTGCACCTAGAAGACAAAAGAAATAGGTGCAATGAATGAGA